CAGAATTTATAATGAAGTATTTTTGCTAAAAAGTAATGATTAAATAGAGGAATATGAGTATTGAGTACTATATGTTGTCTTCATTTCTTTTATCAAAAACATTACATGCAAAGTAATATAACAAATTAACAATATCAAAATAGATAGACAGATATTAACTTTTTTATTTAACTTCTCTTGCCAGCTGCCATTTAATTGATCAAACCTGAGGATTTCAAAAATCACTGTAAAGTATTTAAATAAGGCAATGTTAGTAATATGGATAATAAATTGCGGACAATAATGTCAAACTTTGTAACAAACCGTTGGTAAAACTTCTTTATCTGGATACGTCTCGTATCGACTACTACGATTAGATACGCACCCCAAGTATTTTCATAAGCCAGTTGAAATTTAAATGTGAACACAATGAAACAAATATTAATTAAATATGTAAAATCGCCAATGCCTTATTTGGCTTTTTATTCAAAATGTAAGTTTATACAGGTTAAGTAATTAATAAATTTAGAATAAGATGAGTAGCTATAACTTTCCAAATCTTGAATATCTTAATATATTTTAATGTTATCAGAATTATGATTCTTTAGTTTGTAGTGTATTTTTGTTAAGTTGATAAGTCTTGCATTATTTTGCACATAATTGTAATACTTGTTATTTACTTTGTTATTTGGTCAACTATATAATCAAAACGTTTATATTATAGATACTTAATAAATTTAAATATACAAAATATTTTGAGAATAAACTTTCTTTCTTTCCTATGTGTATGGCGCAAAATATTAGTATTTGCCCTCTGGTAGCGGTTGGAGGACAGAAGATACATCCGGGACTCCATATAGTGTGGTCTTTCGTCGTTTCTGACATGGCGTCGTCATTGTGAAAGTTAGAAAGCGACATTATCTTATGACATTTGAATTTTGAAAATATTTAATCGAATAACAGATATCAGAGTATTTGATCAGCTTAAACTTAAGTAATATTTTTTGCAGCCATTTATAAACTTATTGTTACCGTTTGTTTTGAGGTAAGTCATTATTAAATGTTAAAAATATGTACTGAACTGAAATTGTAAAGTGGAAGTCTAAATTGTAATTCACTAATTGAGAAAAACTTTGTGAAGAGCCAGAAGACACTTAAGTTTAGGACTTAAAGTTAAGCTGCTCATTAAACTAAGTAGATTGCTAAACATCTTTATGCAGACCTAGAATTTAAAAATAGAAGGAAAAGCTTAATCATGGCAGTCTTAAGACTTAAGTTAAACTTAATTTTTAACTATTTAACAGTTTAAGACTTGTAAACATTTTCCTATTGGTGTGATTTCTCGTTTTATTTAAGGCGTTTGTACGTAGAACTTAATGTACTTTTAACAGTTATTGTTATACTAGGCTATAGTTAACGATAAGATAACCGTTAAATGTAGATTAGTATTACTATTAGTAATCTTCTACTGTTGTAGTTGGGAAGAAGGAGACTGTGTTTCAAAGGTTAGCACTTTATGATGATGTTAAGTCATTATAATTGCTATTATTATTCCAAAGTATTTGATTTTTTTGTAGGCTTACAAATTCTCTTACAAGTTTGCATAAACTTGCTTCATTTTACTGGCACTGGGATAAAATATTTCTACTTTATTGGAAGTAACTTATTAAAAATAAGATACACTGTAATTATCAAGGTGAGTTGAGGCACGTACTTCCTTTGAAAAATTCTAACTAGCTTTTTAATAGTCATGTTATTGTGAAGTAAGAGTTAAAGTAAAATATTTTGCTGTTTTGAAATTTAATTCTTAATTTTCTTCTATTCCTTCAACATAGGAAAATGTTGATGAAATAATTCCACAAAATGTATGTTCACTATCTTCTGTAAAGTAGTATAAGATTATCTGTAACCACTTTTACATGCAAAAATGACAAAAATATATGGCACATTGTTCATCTTTCATTGTGATCTGTTATTTGATAATTTTTCATTTATTTTAGCTTGTAGGCTGCAAACCAGACACACTGGACAAAAAAATTGATGATGTTTCTCCTGCTGAATTGATAAATTTAGATGGTGTAATGAACTGTATACACTTGTAATCCAAAGTGGCAAAGAATTTTCTCAGCAGGCAGCAGTGGCCAGAGGTTTTATAATATTTTTAGTAGGTGGCAAAATTACCCAAAAATATAGCATGTGTAATAATGTTAAGACCCCAAAATGCTAGTCCAACAATTAAGACTTACCTTTAACATTTGGACATGTACCTATGAAATGCTTGATCTTTATTGTTCAACAATTCTGCAGACTTTAAGCAAGAGTATGTGACATTCTCTATTATATTAGCTGATTATTAGTATGATATGAACATTTTATAACTTCTAACACCCAAAGTTAGAATACATATATTTCACTGCTCATTACTCTGTGTATTAAGATATTATATTAGTTAGAAATTATTTTATCTGTTAGTTTTACATTGTATTTAATAGGTGGCCAATCTTTTTAGTAGTTGTGCCAATTTTAGGTTCTAAATTTTGAGAAAATGCCAATGATCCAAAAAAGCTTTTAAAACCAAAGTCCAATTTAAGACATCAAAAATAAAATAATTAATAATATCACATTATTTTAGTAACATTTAATACCTGAACTAAAATTCCAAATTTTTATTGTGTACTACAATATGTGACATTTTCTAAATGATAGGCATATAGCAAGTTCTTTCCTTGAACTCCATGGATTTGGGCACCTCTGCTTTGTTCTAATATATCATGTGAAGTAAAGGGTTCAAAATGGCACATCTATCTATCTATCTATATACTACTAAAACTCTGAGATTGTTTGTTTGTTTGCTTGTCCGTAATTAAATACAGCAAAAACAGTGCACAATAGCACCATATCTGTAATGAAAAATGAAAATAGGAACAGAATGAAACTTTAAGTTTCGTTAAAATCTGGCCATGGGTTACGGAGTTAGCGTAGTTTTTTGGGTCACTTTTATGAAAATTTCTAGCATGAGTAACTTTACATCACACTACTGTTCGTGCTCTTTATGAAACTTCATTGGGCCATAGGTTACCGAGTTAGCGCCATTTTTAGGGTCACTTTTATGAAAATTTCTAGCATGAGTAATCTTG